AAATAAGGTCATTGCTGATATAATTAGTTAAGATGATGTCACAGGGGAGTGTGTTGGGGAGCTAATCCAGGAGGACTGGTGTCCTTATAAGAAGGGGAAATTTGGACAGAGCTACATGCACTGGGGAGAACGCCATGTGAAGATGAAGGCAGAGATGGGGGCGATGCTTCTACAAGACAAGAGACAACAAAGAATCCTAGCAAACTGCCAGAAGCTAAGGGAGAGGCATGGGCCAGTTGTTCTCCTACAGCCTCCAGGAAGAATCGACTGTTATCTGAGACTTCTAACCTCCAGAACTGGGAGACAATGAATTTCTGTTGTATAAGCCCCTCAGTTTGTGGTACTTTGTTATGGCAGCCCCAGCAAACTAACACAGCACATTACACCCCACCGTATGACCCTAATGAATCAGAGGTAATGTGGAGAAGAAGGGGTTGAAGGTAGTTAACACTAGGTTCTTAAGTACATAGTTCACTAATTGAGAGATTTATTGGGTTAATGTTATTTTCTTAAAATATAAACATTTATTTATTTTTATTTTTGTATATTTTTTATCGAAGTTCGATTTGCCAACATATAGCATAACAGTGCTCATCCCGTCATAAACATTTCTTTTGAAGGGTATAATCATCAGTCATTCAGATCTTACAGCATACTGCATTTTCCAAAGATGGCCACAATATCTCCCATCCCACACTGCTCTTCTGGAACCTTGCCATTTCTCCAGTAAGAATGAAGAATTCTCTACTAATTCCCCCTTAGGTTTGGTGGGTTTGTGACTCACTTGCAACCAATGTGAGAATGTAGTAGGAGTGATGTTACATGACTTCTAAGGTCGTGTCCTAAAAGTTGATGCTTCTGTCTTGGGAGCTGAATTACTTGCACTGGAGCACTTGACTGCCATGTTGTGAGGAAGCTCAACCAGCATTATGGAGAGACTGCATGGAGAGGCCTTGAGGCTACGTGAGGGAGATACCCAGTAAGACTGCAGTTTCTCCAGCTCCTCTGCTGTTCTTGCTTCAGCTACTATCTAACTACAACCATATGAGGGGCGCCAGACCAAAATCTACCGCCGCCCCACCCCAACCGCCCCTGCAGTCCGACCACAAAAACTGAAAGGGATAATAAAATGATTGTGGTTAGTTTAAGCTTTGGAGTGATTTATCATGCAGTAATAGTTAATGGTCATGACTTAACACATTATTCAGATAATCAAATTTCCTGACTCTTGAATTAATTGGTTCAGAATTGAATTTTCTTTAGAAAGGGGTGGGAAACACAGGAGAAAAGATAACTTGGTAACCTGGAAACATCTACTTTGCAGGTTTCCCCAGAGCCTGGTGGGTAGTTTTGTGTGCCACCAAAAGCCAGCAATATTGCCATCCTTGTCATCCTAACACTCATTAATTTAGAATGTAAATATGAAGGAGGCACCATTGGATTTGAAACCATCGATCACACTAAAGTTTATATAAATTAGTAAATTCCTGATTGGAAAGTCCTTTTTCTTCTTCTCCTCTTAAATGTGACCTAATTATGCAAAATTGTGCCATCAACTGCTTTGGCCGAGTTCGCTATCACTAGTGCCAGGGTCTTGCATGTTGAATTTCCCAGCTTCTGCAAACTTCTATTTTTCACTCAGAATCTGGCACTAATTCTAATGTTTCTGACTTCATTTGTGGTGGGGCTGGGCGGGTGGGGATAGTAAAGATGGTTGCGCTTTCAATCATCTCCAACCCTTGGCATCTTCCTAATAAGAGCCCTCCTCGTGTCATTAGTGCTGACATAGCTCTGCTCAACACAGAAGGAACATTTTCCCCAGTCATTTCCTTCTGTTCAGAAAAAGCCTGGATCCCTTTGACACCTTCATGTTCCAAATACTCCCTATCAGCTTGCAGCTTGTTTTCTATGGTGTCTTTGATTAAAGCCTTTTTCTATCAGGACATTTGAATAAATAATTCCCTTGCCTCTCTTTTGTTATCAGAGTTCTTGCTTGCTGCTTCTGGTCTCCAAGACAGCCCTCGGTCCCTACTGCCAGGGATTAAGACGCCTGTGAAATTCACCCTTGGGCTGCAAAATGCCTTGCAAGGGAATCTTTTGAAAACATTAACTTCTTTTCCCTTTTCAATCCCGAAACAGTAGTTACTGGGGAATAGTCACTCGGAACATGGCTATTAGTTAAGAATTTCTGCACACAATAACTGAGGGGGCAACAAGGAAGCTGAAAAGAAAAGGCTTCATAATCCCTTATTTGTGACTCCTGAGTGGTAGCTGCTAAAAGTGACTTCTGCAAGCAGGCAGCTGCTTCTGCCATTTACACTTAATCAGATAATCACAGGGCTGGGAGAGACGGTAATCCAGCCTTCTGCATAAACCAGGGCCTGCAAGGCTTTCTGGATTGTTCCAGAAACCTCAAGCGTCATGCTCATACCTACACTTGGAAAGGTCAAAACACAGGGAGGAGAGGAGATCTCTTCTCCCTGAAACAGAGGCAGAAAGACAATACTTTTGTCACCTAATCCTCTCTTTTCTTCTTGAACAATTTTTGGGTGGATATCATCCCTACTCCTCAAATATCTATCACATGAGGCAGTGATCATTATCTTCATTTCACATATGATGAAATTAAGGCACAAAGAGGTTAAATTCCTGGGGCACCTGGGTGGCACAGTCAAGCATCTAACTCTTGATTTTGGTTCTGACGGTGATCTCAGGGTCAGGAGATCCAGCCCTGTGTTGAGCTCAGCGCTGAGTCTGCTTAAGACTCTCTTTCCCTGGGGCACCTTAGTGGCTCAGTCGATATGCGTCTGCCCCTGGCTCAGGTCATGATCTCAGGGTCCCAGGATTGGGCTCCCAGCTCAGTGAGGGGTCTGCTTCTCCATCTCCCTCTCCCCCTCCCCCTGCTTGTGCTCTGTCTCTCTCAAATAAATAAATAAATAAATAAATAAATAAATAAATAAAATCCTTTTCTTTTTTTTAAGGCTTTCTCTCCCTCTTCCCCTCCCCCTTCAAATAAATAAATAAATCTTAAAAAAAAAAAAAGAAGGTTAAATTACTGGCACTGATGTGAGAAGACTAGGACAGGTTGACCATCCATCCCATTTTGCCCAGGACTGGGGGGTTTTCTAGGATATGAGATTTCCAGTGCTAAACCAGGACAGTTCTGGGAAAACCAGGAAAGTTGGTCACCATAGATCTGAGCCAGGTCCACACTGTCTCCAGAGCCTTCTCTCTGAATCCCGGTACCACCCTAAATTCTCTTCAGCCTGAGATTTGGCCTTGGGCAATTACTGGCAGCACCACGAAAAATACAGAGGTCATTTCCCTTTGAGTCAGAGAACAAAGTCAGTGGTGTTGATGTGAAATATTGGGGTTCAGGAGCAAACAGTCAAGAAAGGATTCTTGAGATGTCTTCATGCTAAAAGGTGGTTTTATTATAACAGAGGGACAGAACCCATGGGCAGAAAGAGCTGCACTGGGGTTGTGAGAAGTGACTGATTATATATGGTTTTCTATCCTCTGGAGGGGAGGGTTGGGTTAGGGCCCCAGGAAATGGAGTCTTTAGGTTTCTGGAGGTCTGACTGCTTTTATTTTTTTTCTCATAAATCATTAAGACTATTGGAAACTGATGGAGACTCATATCCTGTGTGACTATGATCTCTATCAGTTGACCTCTCATTTTTCCTATTCCTTTGTTCTTGGGCAGCCAGGAGTGCCTGAGGAATATCACAAGCATCCCTCCTGAGAGCAGGGAGTGGGGTGTTAGCTTATGCTTTGCCCTCAGCTTGCCTTTTGCTCTCTCATCAGTGTCACCTTTGGGAAATCAACTCAGGACACCAGGCCCTCTTGCAGGTCACTCAGAACCCACTGGAAAGACCTGTCCAGGAACTGCCTCTCCAGAGAGGTGAAAGTCAGACGCAAGACTGTACACCACCATTTATGTAATTCACCACATCAGAAGCCATTTTACAAGAGACCTTAAATCACTGCCCACTGCCCTGCCAGGGCCTCATTACAGAAACCACAGGGAAGGCCATGGAAGAAGGAGGTTTTTGCTGAAATGTGCAGAGCAGAATTGCACTGAATTAGTTAACAAAATCAGACGAAAGCATATTTTTGCCAAAAGCAGAAATTAAGAACATTAGACATTTTTTTCAGGGCTGAAACAGATATAGTTCCTCTCTCCCTCCTTCCCTCACCTACCCCGCCCAACCCATCTCCCTAATCTCCCCCACGTCAGGGTTCTCTCTTTTAAGATGTCTCTCTAGACTGCAGTGAAAAGTCAGGCACTGACCAAACACATGCTTGGAGTATCATAGCTGGAGCTGAGTTCTGGTTGCTCCCTCTGCTACACCCAAGCACAAACACACACGTACCTATGCACACAGAGCCAGGTGTTACCCTTTAATTACTGGATCCCAAGAGGTTTGGGGAGGCCCAGGTTGTTGAGGAGGAGGACTATGGAGTCTCGGGGAGTGGATCCCTACCAACAGTAGTAAGTGGAGTGCTTTCATGTCACAATAGTCGTGCACATTGTACCTGTCCACTGATGCTTCCTCTCATTTCTCTAAGCCCTAAGTGGAAGGAGCCATCCTCCCTTATGGCCACTGGGGTTCCCTCCTGTTCACCCAGTAGCCCCTGCCTCTCTCCCCTTGGAGGGTAGAAGATTAAAACAGAAAGGACCTCAGAGGGGTCATCTTGTTCAACTCCCTCCTCACACAGGCAGGGGCTGAGGCATGAAGAGGGGATGGGAGCTTCTGGAGTCACATGCTGAATCCACCCTGCCACCTCTGAGGTGGAGAGGAGGGGGCTGGAAGGAGAAGGTCTGTAGCTGCTAACCAAAACTTTTCTCTCCCTTCAGCAGATCCACAATTTTAGCCCAAAGTATTTCTAACTTTTTCACCACTGTATCAGATATGCATTTTTGTTGTTTGGTTTGTCTTCAACTTTATGTTTTTGTTATCTCCCCTTTTTCCTTTCTTCTTCATCTCTGTTTCCAGGTAAAATCACTCACAGAAGGCAAATATCTTAAATAGAGCTTGGGGTGGGTGTACTCATGGGGAGGAGGCCGGACCTGCTCTTCCTCGCCTGCCTGGGGCTCCAGTGAGTCACCCTGAGAAGTGGCCACCAAGGTCATGCTGTGTGGTGATTGATAGCATGGACTGTGCCTGAGTTTGACGCCCAGTCAAGTAAGTTTTCTTTTTCTTTACCCTAGCTCCCCACCCACTGCTTTCTAAAAGCACAGGGTGCATCCCTGAACAGTCATGGGTGTGGGGACTCTCTTTCCTCACCCTGTGTGTTAGGGGATAACAATCAGGCTGAGGTGGCCCCAAATGGTGACACCCTCCTGTCACTCATGGAAGAGCCGCCTCTTAGGTGAAGGTCCACCCCCCCTTGAGAATGTCACCCTGCAGCTCCTGCTGGCAGCAGTGAATCCTAATGCTGAGGGCAAGGAGTGGGTACATCTGGGGACATTCGTGGGTGAAGACAGAGGCCCCCTCTCCCTCTCTCTTTCCACAGATGCGTGATGCTCCCCATTACCAAGGGCCTTCCCCTTCCTCTGACCAAGAGCATGAAGGGGTTTCTGGGGAAAATGATGCTTGTGACCTCCCCATTCATTAGACTCTGGCTGAAACAAAAGGGAATGAGAGGAAACTATGACTTTTAAGTCAAAGAGTAAAGGCAACACGGACCACACCAGTTGGAACAGCCCTCCCAGGCCTCTTCTGCAGTGGGCACTGTGGCTGGGCCACAGCATCCTGACTCCTCATCATCCATGGACTCAGGACTCCTCAAGGACAACAGGTGGATTAGGTAAGATGACGGAATCTACACTTGGAAAGAAACACCTGCAGTTCACTGAAAGAATGACCTAATCACTACCGGCTCACAACAAACTATAGAGTGTGGTTCTGTTAGAACTCAGTCCCTCCTCACCAGGGACCTCGTGAAGCCCTCTGGCAGGAGCAGCCAAGGGAAACATCTCCAGCCTAGGTTAGCTGCCATCCTTTTCTGGTCCAGGTTCCCTGTCATTGTGGAACTTTGCTACTTCCTGCGCTGTTTTCCCTCCAGCCAGGCTGGGCCTAGGCAGGGCGCCCTGGGAGACAGTGTTTCCACACCATCTGCACATGGGATGAGATTCTTGGTCTCTCTGCAGGTTTACACCTTGGGGGCAGAGCTCTCAGCAAGTATGCTTCTACACTCTGGTAACTCTTCTTCCTAATTTGCTTCTGTTCAAGTCAGATTTTGGCCCTGGGGAGGTTTGTATCTCTCGTGATCAATTGTCTTAAATGTCTTTGAGAGTTTTCTGTTCCCTAGGGAACGGCTTCTCTCTCCCGCCACCATTGCATGCTCCTCACTCATGAAGTGGCCCTCTGCACTTTGGTGATCTCTGGCTTTGAGCCGGAAAAGAATAGCTGCTACCCACCGTCCAGATATCACTGCCTTCTATGTAGCTAACACTCCTGTTTGCTCTAGCATCCGGAGCTTTAGGGTCACTATTTTGTGCCCACCATGTGTGGGCTTCACAAAGATGACTAAGGAAAAATGGGCTTCTTGTCGTAGCTATTAGTGTAACTACCATTTATTGAGCATATACTATGTTCCAGGCATTATGCTAAGCAGCTTACATATATTATCTCTAGTCCTTGTGGCAAACCTATTTTATAGATATGGAAACTGAGTCTGAGAGAAGTTGTATAACTTGTCCTGGCTCACACAGATGGGAAGTGGTGGAGATGGGACTTGAATCCAAGCCTGCATGCAGAAGACCAGACTTTGCTTTCCACCATTCTTCCAGTCACTCAGCAAACATTTACTGAGTCACCGACCATCTCCCAGACATGTTCTTTTGACGACATCCTTCATCCTAACTCTCTTGATCTGTGACAACGAAGAGTTCCTCAAGTCGACCACAAGGAAAAGGTCTAGAACAGCAAAGAAAAGGAAAACAAAATTATCGATCTGTGTGTTAATTTGAAGTTTGCTAATCACCAGGAGAAAATAAAAACCAGGTGAGAATTACTATGTCAACCATGTTTTCAGTTTTCACATCTGAAGCAGTAGCTGGAGCTCCCAGATGCAAACATGGGAATATGGGACTCCACTGAAATATAATAGACAAGAGGAGGAGCAGGAAAATGAATCTGAAACCCTTATAGGCTATTTGGCAACCTTTTTGTGTTTTTAGTTGCAGTATTAGATTTGATGTTTCTGAGAAATAACAGCATCATCAATCCCAACTGACATAGGAGAAGAGGCTGCAAGATTATATGCTATTCCTTGGATATGCAGAAAATCAGTAGTGATACAGACTTATCATCTAAACCTGCAGACAAAAAAAGAATTTCACTGTAGCCAGCTATTTCCCTTATTTGTGGGTTGTTGAAATAGTTTTAATTTTGCTGCGAGTTGAAGTAAGCTTTTTTCATTAAAAAAAAAAAAGTGCATGCAACAGAGAGCTGACAGAGTGAAGCACAATTGTCATGGCCTGGACTGGCACTCAAGCTGTAAAGGGGTTTAGGTTATAGACTTTGATTTATGTATTTATTTGGGAGATTGAGTGTGTGTGTGCGAGTGGGGGGAGGCGCGAGGGGGGCAGAGGGAATCCCAAGCACACTCCCTGCTGAGCATGGAGCCGGACTTGGGTGGCTCTATTCCAGGACCCTGAGGTCATGACCTCAGCCCAAACCAGGAGTTGGCCACTTAATGGACTGAGCCACCCAGGTGCCCCTAGGTTATCAGACTTTAAAGGATTCCCTAGATTGGTAGAATTATTGGTAGCACTTTTCTACTTCTGCCCTGTTAACTGAATCCTGATTTTGTGCAGATATCAGGGAAATTTGTCTGGGAAAGGTAGATCCTTCTCTGGGGCCCATAAAAGGAACCACAGTCAGCCCGATTCATTTCCTCTCTGCAGATGATGGGTTCAGCCAGTGTGGTGGCCATTTGACCCAGTTCTCAGCAAGGGGACATAACTGGAAGTCTGCTAATGGCTTCTGGAAAGACGTGTCTAACAAACAAAGAGGGACCTAAGAGAAAGCCTATTTCCCTCCCCACCTGTCTTTGCTTTTTTTCATTTAAGGATAGGTTATACCAAGCTACCGCAACAACCTCGGCACCATGAAAAAAGGCAATGCCACCACACTGAAGACTGCAAAATAGAACGCAGAAAATGCCTGGCTTCTTGGTAACCTCATTGCATCACCGAGCAACCTGAAACCACATACCTACAGAGTTCTTAAGTGATGTCAAACTGCCCTATGGTCTCTGCCACGTTTAGTTTCATCTCCATGATACACCGGATAATGAGGAATCGCTTACAGCCAACACATTATACAAGAGCAAAAGAAACATGTGTGAACCAAGGTGACGTTACTGATTCCAGACGTTTGGTCTGTTGGGTCACACATTCGTCAAAGGAATTTAGAAACTAAGCAGACAGCACATATCTGTTGAGCACCTGCCATGCGCCAGACACTGTGCTGGGTGTTGGGGTTACGAGGGTGGGAGAAACTGGCAAGGGCATTGAGGTCATGGAAATCACATTCTAGAAGACAGATGATAAACAAACAAGGACAACCAAAAACATTCTGAAACAACTTTTAAAATATTGATTCAAATCAGTCCTGAGTGTAAACCCAGATGTCATCATCATCATCATCATTGTCATTGGTAGAAGCATTTGTGCCAGGCTCTGTCGGTGTCAAAAAGTGAACAAGACATAGACCCTGCATTCAAGAAATCTGGGGGGTCAGAATCCAGATTTGGCCATAGAACAGTCAAAAGTTAGGCAATGAATTAGGCAACAAAAGAATTCTTCTGGTAACCAGGGTTAGGATAGGCCAGGCCCCTATTCTCCCACACATGTTTTATAACCATTACCCCCTTTTCCAAGAGAGAAAGGAATATTCTTAGCGATTGCTGTTCTTCTTTCACATATGGCTGCTGTTCCCGAGAGAATCAAGTGGGCTCTTTCTTTGTCCAGTGAAGTGAAGAATATAGGCTGTGTAAATCTGGGTGGCACTTACCAGCCTGTGCTGTGGACCCGGCAAATCCCCACAGATAGGCCCATAAATGATCTCACCAAGCCCTATCTCCCTTCCTTCATTCTCTCAAAATCATACCACCTAATGTGTTTAGCATGCTGCTATTGACTATGAATTGCCATATCTAGCCATAAAAAAACAGATAAACAGCCACTGACCAGGTCCCCACACCCACACACATACCCTCACCCTCAGACACATTTCCACTGACAGTCACATGACCCACTGAACACACTCACACTTGGAGAACATCTTCCCACAGGCTTGCTCACACACTGGCTTTTTATTTGAGCTCTCGTGGGGAATCTTTCAACTCTTAGATAGGAATTTCATTAACAAAGGAAGGGGAGGGGAAGTCGAGACGCAAGTATAGACGCAGAAGAAAGAAATGAAAACATCTTTTTTGAAGGGGACCTAAAATTGTATCATCCTAGCCTAAACCTCCTCTCTAACTGTTCTTTGTTTGTACGTTCTGTGCCTGAAAAAAAAAAAAAAAAAAAGAACCACAACTTTTCATTGATTGGGCAACTGTCCAGGCTCTTAGCTTGGCATCCAGCCCGCAGAGCTGTGAAATCAACCTCACCAAGCCTATGGTTTAAAATGAGGCTACATCTAACTGGAAACCCATTCAAAATAAGGAACTTGGCACAAGGGTCCAGGGTCCTTTGTTTCTTCCTTCCTCCCAGCGGCACCTCTCATGTAGTCTTGGGGAAGCCTCTTACTTGGTGAAGAAAGAGATCAGGGACAAGAAGGGGGTGCTGAGAAAGTTCCATGAAACTCAGAAGTCACCACCTGCATATCAAACCCGAATAACCAGGAGAGATGTAACCTGGGCACATGTTCAGTGGTTTCCCTGCTGCCCACACTGCAGGTTTTTCAGGTCCTTGCTTGAGCGTGCATTCACGGGCGTAAATAAGCGTGCCATCAACAGCCTGCGTCAGCCAAGCCAGCTATTTAAGCGGGCTGGCATCAGCAAACTCTGCTTCCCAACCCAGGGTTGCCTTTGCCACCTCCACGTAAGTAGCTTTCAGAGGTTTGCCTTTATTACACAGGAATGAAATTGTGTAGAAAGTGGACTGAAATGTCATCGTTACCGTATTTGCTGTTCTGTGGGGGGGGGGGAGGTAATGGTGAGAGGGACAATGAAAGTTAAGAGCTGGTCCCAAGTGGGGAGCCAGAGAACATTGCTGGGTGCAAGATACCAGAGCCTTGAGAAGGTGCAAGGGGTGGAGGGGGGTTGGGGGCAAGGTGGAGTCTATTTTGGCCTTTTGACCAGCAGGTGAGATGTTTTGCTTGCTCTCTCCTGTCTCTGGAAGACACTTGGAAACGTGTTTGTATGACTGTGCCAGATGCATATGAATTTATCATTTGGAGGCTGATGTTGCTATTATTCATCTCGGTCTAAAATCAGAGTATTATTTTTTTTTAAATTTTTTAATTTATTTATGATAGTCACACAGAGAGGGAGAGAGAGAGAGGCAGGGACACAGGCAGAGGGAGAAGCAGGCTCCATGCACTGGGAGCCCGATGTGGGATTCGATCCCAGGTCTCCCGGATCGCGCCCTGGGCCAAAGGCAGGCGCCAAACCGCTGCGCCACCCAGGGATCCCAATCAGAGTATTATTTTTAAATATTTTTTTTGTGTGTATGATATAGGGGAGTAAGAGGAGGTACCTCTGGATTAAGTAGAAGTAGCTCAGCTGTGAATTTGCGGTGCTGTTTTTTGTTACGCCTGGTTCTTATAATACTTATTTACAACAATGCAAACACCAATCTTGTTTAAGATAAAAAGGAATCCCATGCTCTGGGGTTTTGAGGAAATGCAGGTTTGCGATATTTGAACCACAATGGTATCCAGGTAATCAGGTGGAGTGTAGGTAAGATGCAATAAGAATCATTGAATAAAGAGGCACGACACTCCACATAACTTAGGTGAGAGGGTCTTGAAGAAATGAGGAATGCAAAAGTTCCCGTGGGGCAGCGCCTGCCACTGGAGGGGCCCGTAGCGTCCCTAGTGAAGTAGGGTGAGGCATAACCAAAGCAGGCAGAGAACAAAATCAAGATTCTGAGGAGAGGGGAAGGGAGGGAGAGAGGGGCCAGACAGTAGAGGAGTTACAATTAGGCATCATATAAATGAAATACATGTAGAATTCTACTAGGAATAAAGCAAGAATCTGGTGATTAAGAATCTGGCGAATCAAAAAACAAAATGAAATCTTGCCATTTGCAATGATGTGGATTGAACTAGAGTATTATGCAAAGCAAAATAAGTCAGAGAAAGACAATTATCATATGACCTCACTAATATGAGGAATTTAAGAAACAAAACAGAGGGTCATAAGGGAAGAGAGGAAAAATAAAACAAGATGAACTCAGAGAGGGAGAAAAACCATTAGAGACTCTATCACAGAAAACTGAGGGTCCCTGGAGGGGAGGGGGTTGGGGGACTGGAGTAACTGGGTGATGGGCATTAAGGAGGGCACATGATGTAATGAGCACTGGGTGTTACCTAAGACGGATGAGTCACTGACCTCTGCCTCTGAAACCAAGAATACATTTTATGTTAATTGAATTTAAATAAAAATTTTAAAATGCAAAAGAAAAAAATAGAATCTGGAAAAAGCCAAGGACCTTTCCCAGGTAGTTCCCCCTGCCCTCAATACATGCCTTGACATTCATTTTCTGGAGCCCTAGAACCCCATGGACCCCAAATGAATGCACTTAAGCTAATGCATTATTTTTAAACTGAGCTGAAACCTGCTCACTAGGAATCTGCAGAGAGGTAGTGGGGAGTTGGCCACC